CGATAACATCTCCGCTGCTGATGTCTTTGTCTTTGCCATCGCCCACGGCTACTTCGTGCGTTTCCTCTTCCTGTCGTCGGGCCATCCCGATCATTGGGCCTCTTCCGATACAAGATCTAACAAGTCCCTCTCACCGCTCGCGTCTACGTGCACATAGAACAACCTCCCGGCTCGTCGCTACAACGAGGTTGGCAACCTGTTCCGCTGGTTCAAGGAGGTCCAGGACCTTACCCACGACAAGATCAACATCTCTGTCTTCCCCAAGATTGACTTCGAGGCTGCTGTGCGTGCACCCCATTTCGCACGCTTGGTGGGGGCTGCCTTTTGCGCCACCCCCATGGCCAGCTCTCCCTCTCTCTCCCTCTCTCTCCCTCTCTCTCCCTCTCTCCCTCTCTCCCTCTCTCCCTCTCTCGCTCTTCCTCTGTGTCTCTGGCCAATCCTAACACTCGGCACCAAATCACGCACAGCTCGCTGCCGTTGCCGCCGAGGCTGAGGCCCTCCAGGAGAAGAAGAAGGCCAAGGCCAAGCCCGCGGCCAAGCCCGCCGCCGCCGCCGAGGTCTCCGGCGAGCCCGACATCTCGATGCTGGACATGCGCGTTGGCCGCGTGGTCAGCGTCGCCCTGCATGAGAATGCCTCGTCCCTGTATGTGGAGCAGATCGACTTCGGTGAGGAGACCGGTCCCCGCACCGTCGTTTCCGGCCTGGTTGGCAAGATCCCGATGGAGTATCTTCAGGACCGCCTTGTTATCTGCCTGTGCAACCTGAAGCCGGCTGCGTGCGTTGTTTGCTTGAATTTGGGGAGCGGCGGAGGAGAGGGGGAGGGGGGGGGGGGGGCCTTTGCCCGCTGCCCTTGGCCCTTTATCGTCTCGGCTTTTGCCCAGCCTCTCGGCATTCTCTGACCGTGCATGCGCCGTGCCTGACTGGCTCCTGTTTCGCCGCGCGCCACAACTCCCAGCATGCGTGGTGTCAAGTCCTTCGCCATGGTCATGTGCGCTGCCAACGCCGAGGACACCGTCGTCGAGCTGGTCGAGCCGCCGGCCGGCGCCGAGGTGGGCGACGTCATCGTCTTCGAGGGTCACCCCGGTACGCGTGCCCTCTCTCTTCCCCTTTTGATTGCCCCTTGTGGAAGCCTCTTTCGCTGCTGACATCGCCGTGTAACCCCGCAAACACCAATAGGCGAGCCTCTGCCCCAGCTCAACCCGAAGAAGAAGATCTTCGAGGCCCTGCAGCCGGGTCTGCGCACCGATGCCAACCGTGTTGCTCGCTGGAACGACATCGCTTGGTCCATCAAGGGCAAGGAGGGCGTTTGTGCCCCGAACACCGTCGCCAACGGTACCATCCGGTAAAGAGAGCGAGCATACAGGCGGGACCTCTGTGCATCCCCCCCCGCCCTCCCCCTCCCCCCTACGTGGATGCGCGCGCCTCGTGTGTCTGCACGAAGGCAAGCCCCACCGCCATGTGGACCCTTGGCGTGCCGTGCTATGCCATGTGCTCTACCATACCATTCCGGCATGATGCCCGATTGGCACCTCCTTCCTCTCATCTGCTGAACATGAAGGATACATTTGCTTGGCATGGGGCAAAAGGCGGAGGGAGGGAGAAAGGCACAGGGGAAAACCATGCACATGTCCACACGCCGCCCCCCCGCGCGACAAATACATCTGTCCATTCTCCGAATTATGCGAGCGCTCCTTTCCAGCCACAGCACACACACACACACACACACACACACACACACACGATCAAGGCGCCGGCCAACAAACCCCCCTTCTCTCTTTTGCCTGCGAGAGAAGGGACGCGGGGGAAAACAACACAAGAAGAGGTCATTCACAGAGCGCCGACTGGCGGCATTTATATTTATCAAAGGGCAAGAGGGGGAGAGAAAGGGGAATGGAGTGTGAGGGAGAGGGGAGGGGAGGCCCGTCTCTCATGGTCCCGAGGACGAAAGAGCGCATACAACACACCGCCGAAACGGAGGAGGAGGCAGAGCCGCAAGAGGGCCCATCTCCCCAGCCGTGTGCGCCTCCACACGACGGCACGCGCTATGGACAACAGAGTTGAGCATGCCAACATCCGCCCCACATCTCTCTTCTGCGCCATTCTCCGCCCCGACATCCATGAAGTACCCCCCGACACAATGGACGGGGGGGGCACCATATCATCGGAAGAAGAGAGAGAGAGAGAGAGAGAGAGAGAGAGAAAGAGAGAGAGCCGGGAGCACATTGACGAGTGCGACCTTCTCTCTCTCTGCGGGATCGAGAGGAGAGAGGATGAAGAAGGGCAGACACTCCCGGCTACACCCATTTTGAGGGTACGCATGCCTGCACATATGTGTGTATGTGTGTATGTGTGTATGTGTGTATGTGTGTATGTGTATGTATGTGTGGGTGTGCTTGCGGCACATCACCCAACAAGGGCAGAAGAAGGGCGAGGCAACACCTTAGAAGCCAAGCAGCGAGGAAACCGCCGAGGAGGCAGAGTCGGCCGGGGGGATGATGACCGAGCCGAAGTCCGGGTGGGCCGGGGAGAAGTAGGCCAGGGAGAAGATACCGGCCGACACGGCACCAGCGAAGAAGATGGTGATAATCCAGGCGGAGAAGGTCTTGGTGAAGAGCTTGAGGTTGAAGCCGCTCTTGCCCTCGCAGGCACCCACAGCAACGGTGGCACCGACCTGGCAATGGGTGGAGGAAATGGGGATACCAATCATGGAGGCCATGACCACGGTGGCGGCGGTGGCCAGCTCGATGGCGAAACCACGAGAGGGGGTCATCTTGATGAGGTTCGTGCCGATGGCGATAATCAGCTTGTAGCCGTACAGGGCCAGACCGGCCACGATACCGATACCACCCATGACCAGAATCCAGACAGGCGGGGCATAGTCGCCGGCCGGGATATCGGCATACATGTAGATGTAGTAGATCATGGTGAAGGGGGCCACGGAGTTGGACACGTCGTTGGCACCGTGGGCGAAGGAAGCAAAGCAGGCAGTGGCCACCTGCAGGTAGCTGAAGAGCTGCTCGGTCTTCTCGTCGAAGATCTCGGCAGAGGCGTGGAGACGGGCAACCTCCTCGCTCTTGGCCTCGGCATGGACATCACGGTTGAGGGTGGACTGGTAGAAGCTCATGACACTGGCGGAGGCGGCGTTCTCGGTCGGCTTGCTGGCGGTGTCCTCGGCGATCAGCGGGGTGGAGGCATCAGCCAGCAGGGGCATGCGGTCATCGACGCCGGTGGTGGTGGCACCGGACAGGGCAGAGGCATCGGCGTTGATGGGAACCGAGACGCCGTAGTCCTCCGGGGCGGTGGCGGCCAGAGAGCCGACATCCTCCTCCTCATCGCTGGAGCCCTTCTCAATGTACCGGCGGATGAAGGGCATCAGCAGGAAGTGGATGAGAGTGGCCAGGACGATACCGGCACCGATGGAAACCAGGATGCCCGCCCACACGGGCAGGACCTCCTCAACACCCTTGAAGGGACCCTTGTAGGTGATGAAGAAGACATTGACGGCCACGGTGGTGGCAATCAGCAGAGGGTAGAAGTAGTAGCCCAGGGTCAGGGAGTTCTCCTTGCGCAGGATGAAACGGCGAACCGACCAGAAGGTGGCGGCGGCGATACTGCCGGACAGGACGGGAGAGATGAACCACGAGGCAACGATCAGACCGAGATCGCCCCACAGAATGGCGCCGGGACCACCGGCAACGAGGGAGAAGCCGATGATGGAGCCAACTGCATGGTGGGTGGTGGTGTGTCGGGGGGGGGGGGGGGG